TTTTTTTTTTTTTTGAGACAGAGTCTCACTCAGTCACCCAGGTTGGAGTGCAATGGCTCAATCATGGTTAACTGCATCCTCAACCTCCTGAGCTCAAGCAATCCTCCCAACTCAGCTTCCCAGGCAGCTGAGACTACAGGCATGAGCCACCATGCCTGGCTAACTTTTATTTTTTTGAGGCAGAGTCTCACTTTATAGCTCAGGCTGGAGGGCAGTGGCATGATCTCGGCTCATAGTAACCTCTGCCTCCTGGGATCAGGTGATTCTCCTGCCACAGTGTCCCAAATAGCTGGGATTACAGGCACTTACCACCATGCCTGGCTACTTTTTGAATTTTTAGTAGAGACAGGGTTTCACCATGTCTGTCAGGCTGGTCTCAAACTCCTCACTTCAGGTGATCCATCTGCCTCAGCCTCCCAAAGTGCTGGGATTACAGCCCTCAGCCACTGTGCCCAGTCTACCTGGCTAACTTATATTTCTTGTAGAGACACAGTTTTGCCATGTTGCCCACACTGGTCTCAAACTCCTGGCTCAAACAATCCACTGACCTCAGCCTCCAAAAATGCTGGGATTACAAGCGAGATCGACCACACCCAGTCAATATAGTTTTTCATTAAAGATTTTTGCTAGCATATTCATTAAAAATATTGCTCTATAGTTTTTTCTTATGATGTCACTGTCTGATTTTGCCATCAGGGTAATACTGGCCTCATAAAATGAGATGTGGGTGGGGCGTGGTGGCTCATGCCTGTAATCTCAGCACTCAGGGAGGCTGAGGAGGGCCTCCCTGATCGCTTGAGGCCAGGAGTTTAAGACCAGCCTGGCCAACATGGTGAAACCCCATCTCTACTAAAAATACAAAAACAAATTAGCTAGGGATGGTGGTGCACACCTGTAATCCCAGCTGCTTGGGAGGCTGAGGCACAAGAATCACTTGAACCCAGGAGGCAGAGGTTGCAGTGAATGGAGATTTTGCCACTGCACTCCAGCCTGGGCAACAGAGTGAGGCCCTGTCTCAAAAAAAAAAAAAAAAAAAAAAAAAGAGCCATGAAATATTCTCTCCTTTTCTATTGGAAGAGTTTGTAAAAAATTAGTATTAATTCTTCATTTAATGTTGGATGGAATTCAGCAGTGAAGACATCTGGGCCTTTTGTTTTTGGGTAGTTTTTGACTAAAGATTCAATCTCCTCACATGTTACAGGTCTATTCAGATTGTGTATTTTTTCTTGCATCAGTTTTGGTAGTTTGTATATTTCCGGGAATTTGCCATTTCATCTGGGTTATCTAATTTGTTGGT